CATTTAAGTGTTCCATGGCCAGTCAGAGGCAACCTTAAGTGTTCGTTGTGCCAGTCAGAGGTGACTAAGTTCTCCATGGCAGTGTGGTAGTACCCTGTTGTTCTATATGGTAGTGTTCTTCTACCCCATTCTTCCCAGTTATTTATGCCCATCATTCAGTTATATACTTCAATGGTAACAGCTGTTATTCTACGTCTCTTAAGAGAGTGAAGGTTTTAATCTCTCATTCTGTCTTATGAGATATTCCTTATTCAGTGGACTCATTTTGATATCCTTCTCTGTATGCTCTCCAGTGCATTTATATCCATTCAGACATTCTGTAGTATGGTGACCAAAACTGAACTGCATAATCTAGGTGAGGCCTTACTAGTGATGTATGGAGCTGTAAAATAACTTTTGGACTCCCGCTACTCTTGTCTTAGATTAAGGTTTCTGCTTACCAAAACTCCCAACCTTTTTTTCTCATTGTGTATAATCAAGCTCTTCATCAAATAGTTTATAAGTACGATAGTCAGTTTTATTCCCAATGATGAGGTTTTACACTTGTCTACCATTGAACTGAATCTGCTACTTTTCAAAGCATGACTTCAGTTTGTTCAACTCTAACTGAAGTTCAGTTTTATCTTCCTTCGAATCTATAATTTGGCTTATTTTTGTCTCTTCAGTGAATTTATTGATGGCATTTGTTATTCCTTGATCAAGGTCATTTGTGTAAATTATGAGCAACATTGGGCCTAAAACTGATCCTTGTGGAACTAGTGACTGGTCCCCATTCAGATTTCACCCCAGTGAAAGTCCAGGAAATCCAGTCATATTGACTTTCACTATTATTACTACATTATCATGCCTAGCAGCCATAACAATTTCATCCCAAAGAAGTCTCCCTCTCTCCCTTTTTTAAGTTGGTATATTACTCAAAATAAATTCTCTTGTTCTATAAATTCTACCCAAACAAATTGTGTGTCAAATCCATCAATTTTTCTACCAGTTTTTATACAACAATTAATATTTTCTCAAACATACGTCACTATCAAAATTAATCTCCATAATCTAAGTGAAGCCTTATTGAAAAGTTATAGTGATACTGACAGTATGTAGATAAATATATATGTACAGTTCAAGATATTTATTGAGGAAACTTTGCCATAAGTGACTTCTTCAGTCCTAGTACAGTAGGGCTCCACCTAGTACAGTAGGGCTCCACCTAGTACAGTAGGGCTCCACCTAGTACAGTAGGGCTCCACCTAGTACAGTAGGGCTCCACCTAGTACAGTAGGGCCCCACCTAGTACAGTAGGGCTCCCACCTAGTACAGTAGGGCTCCACCTAGTACAGTAGGGCCCCACCTAGTACAGTAGGGCTCCACCTAGTACAGTAGGGCTCCACCTAGTACAGTAGGGCTCCACCTAGTACAGTAGGGCTCCACCTAGTACAGTAGGGCTCCACCTAGTACAGTAGGGCTCCACCTAGTACAGTAGGGCCCCACCTAGTACAGTAGGGCTCCACCTAGTACAGTAGGGCTCCACCTAGTACAGTAGGGCCCCACCTAGTACAGTAGGGCTCCACCTAGTACAGTAGGGCTCCAGCTAGTACAGTAGGCTCCCACCTAGTACAGTACGGCTCCAGCTAGTACAGTAGGGCTCCACCTAGTACAGTAGGGCTCCACCTAGTACAGTAGGGCTCCCCCTAGTCATGGGGCTCCACCAGTACAGTGGGCTCCACCAAAAGACAGTAGGGCTCCAAGTACGTGGGCCCCCCCTATTTACAGTAGGGTCCACCTAGTACAGTAGGGCCCAGCTAGTACAGTGGGGCCCCAACCTAGTACTTTGGGGCTCCACCAGTAAGTAGGGCCCACCTAGTACGTGGGCCCCACCTAGTACAGTAGGGCTCCACCTAGTACAGTTAGGGCTCCACTAGTACGTAGGGCTCACACTAGTCAGTAGGGCTCACCTATGTACAGTGGGCCCCACCTAGTACAGTAGGCCCCACTAGTACAGTAGGGCTTCCCAATTACAGTAGGGCTCATAGTACGTAGGCTCCACCTAGTACTGTAAGGCTCAACTTAGTACAGTCAGTTTACACCAAGTAATATTTGGCTCAATACAGTTAGGGTCACCTATAATAGACTCCACTAATCTATAGTGCACCTTAGTGAAAGTTCATAGTGGATACTGTACAGTATGTAGATATAAGTAGATACTGTACAGTTCAGATATTTATGAGGAAACTATGTCATAAGTGGACTTCTCATCCTAGTACAGTAGGGCTCCACCTAGTACAGTAGGGCTCCACCTAGTACAGTAGGGCTCCACCTAGTACAGTAGGGCTCCACCTAGTACAGTAGGGCTCCACCTAGTACAGTAGGGCCCCACCTAGTACAGTAGGGCTCCACCTAGTACAGTAGGGCTCCACCTAGTACAGTAGGGCCCACCTAGTACAGTAGGGCTCCACCTAGTACAGTAGGGCTCCACCTAGTACAGTAGGGCTCACCTAGTACAGTAGGGCTCCACCTAGTACAGTAGGGCTCCACCTAGTACAGTAGGGCTCCACCTAGTACAGTAGGGCCCCACCTAGTACAGTAGGGCTCCACCTAGTACAGTAGGGCTCCACCTAGTACAGTAGGGCCCCACCTAGTACAGTAGGGCTGCCACCTAGTACAGTAGGGCTCCAGCTAGTACAGTAGGGCTCCACTAGTACAGTAGGGCTCCACCTAGTACAGTAGGGCTCCACCTAGTACAGTAGGGCTCCACCTAGTACAGTAGGGCTCCACCTAGTACAGTAGGGCTCCACCTAGTACAGTAGGGCTCCACCTAGTACAGTAGGGCTCCACCTAGTACAGTAGGGCTCCACCTAGTACAGTAGGGCTCCACCTAGTACAGTAGGGCTCCACTTTTTGGTGTTTCACCTTACGGCATTCTGCTAATACTGTGATCTCAAATTATGACCAAAACTTTCTATATGGCAAGTGGTCTTTCAAATAGGGCGCGGGCCACCCAGTTTGTTTACAATATCCATGAGCACATCTCTCTATTATGTAATAGTAATCACTCTTGAGCACATTAAATGTCTAATTTTACATCATTATAGACATTTTCATTAATCCATCTATGATATTTTCTTCAAAATTATATAAGAAACATGTTACATAGCATATAAACATGCTGTTTATATGCTATGGAGGTGTGGTTGCCGGGTGGAGGGAAAACATTACGTAATACTAATAATAATCACTCTTGGGCACATTAAATGTCTTATTTTATGTTAATACAGACATTTTCATTAATCCATCTAAGTACACCCCACAGTAGAATAAATTAACATAAATATGAGATGTGGTAGCCAGGTGACTTGTAGGACTTGTGGTAGCCAGGCAACTTGTAGGACTTGTGGTAGCCAGGCAACTTGTAGGACTTGTGGTAGCCAGGCAACTTGTAGGACTTGTGGTAGCCAGGCAACTTGTAGGACTTGTGGTAGCCAGGTGACTTGTAGGACTTGTGGTAGCCAGGAACTTGTAGGACTTGTGGTAGCCAGGCAACTTGTAGGACTTGTGGTAGCCAGGCAACTTGTAGGACTTGTGGTAGCCAGGCAACTTGTAGGACTTGTGGTAGCCAGGCAACTTGTAGGACTTGTGGTAGCCAGGCAACTTGTAGGACTTGTGGTAGCCAGGCAACTTGTAGGACTTGTGGTAGCCAGGCAACTTGTAGGACTTGTGGTAGCCAGGCAACTTGTAGGACTTGTGGTAGCCAGGCAACTTGTAGGACTTGTGGTAGCCAGGCAACTTGTAGGACTTGTGGTAGCCAGGCAACTTGTAGGACTTGTGGTAGCCAGGCAACTTGTAGGACTTGTGGTAGCCAGGCAACTTGTAGGACTTGTGGTAGCCAGGCAACTTGTAGGACTTGTGGTAGCCAGGCAACTTGTAGGACTTGTGGTAGCCAGGCAACTTGTAGGACTTGTGGTAGCCAGGCAACTTGTAGGACTTGTGGTAGCCAGGCAACTTGTAGGACTTGTGGTAGCCAGGCAACTTGTAGGACTTGTGGTAGCCAGGCAACTTGTAGGACTTGTGGTAGCCAGGCAACTTGTAGGACTTGTGGTAGCCAGGCAACTTGTAGGACTTGTGGTAGCCAGGCAACTTGTAGGACTTGTGGTAGCCAGGCAACTTGTAGGACTTGTGGTAGCCAGGCAACTTGTAGGACTTGTGGTAGCCAGGCAACTTGTAGGACTTGTGGTAGCCAGGCAACTTGTAGGACTTGTGGTAGCCAGGCAACTTGTAGACTTGTGGTAGCTAGGCAACTTGTAGGACTTGTGGTAGCCAGGCAACTTGTAGGACTTGTGGTAGCCAGGCAACTTGTAGGACTTGTGGTAGCTAGGCAACCTGTAGGACTTGTGGTAGCCAGGCAACTTGTAGGACTTGTGGTAGCCAGGCAACTTGTAGGACTTGTGGTAGCCAGGCAACTTTTAGGACTTGTGGTAGCCTGGCAACTTGTAGGACTTGTGGTAGCCAGGCAACTTGTAGGACTTGTGGTAGCCAGGCAACTTGTAGGACTTGTGGTAGCCAGGCAACTTGTAGGACTTGTGGTAGCCAGGCAACTTGTAGGACTTGTGGTAGCCAGGCAACTTGTAGGACTTGTGGTAGCCAGGCAACTTGTAGGACTTGTGGTAGCCAGGCAACTTGTAGGACTTGTGGTAGCCAGGCAACTTGTAGGACTTGTGGTAGCCAGGCAATTGACTTGTTAGAGCATTGTGGATAGCTAGGCAACTTGTAGGACTTGTGGTAGCCAGGCAACTTGTAGGACTTGTGGTAGCCAGGCAACTTGTAGGACTTGTGGTAGCTAGGCAACTTGTAGGACTTGTGGTAGCAGGCAACTGTAGGACTTGTGGTAGCCAGGCAACTTGTAGGACTTGTGGTAGCCAGGCAACTTGTAGGACTTGTGGTAGCTAGGCAACCTGTAGGACCTGTGACGAAAACCAGACACGTTCATCTAGTTTGTTTACTTTATATGTGGGTGGGGTGGGGAGGGCTGCCCTTCCTGGCTACCCATACTTCCCAACCTGACTTCATACAAATAAAACTCACCTCTCATCCTACATTAAGACTGCAAATATTTTAAGGTAATTAATAACTGTACTGTATATGCATTTTATCGCTCTAGGGAGCTTAATGTCGTAGTAGGCATAAGTGGCCAGGCAGGATGCCATACCTCCCCCACAACTTTCTACAAATAAATATTTTTCACCTCTTACCCTACATTACCAGTAAGACTACAAATATTTTAAGGTAAGTAATGCATGTACTGTATATGAATTTTATCACACTAGGGAGCTTTAAGCATCGTAGTGTAGTATGTGTGGGTGGGGTGGCCAGGAGGGCTACCACACCTGACTTCTTAGAGTAAATCTTAATCACCTTTTGCCCTACATTAAGACTACAAATATTTTGAGGTAAATAGTGAGTGTACTGTGTGTGCATTTTACTTTTTAATGCCTAGTTCTATTGCTAACTAAATATATGTTAGTGTAAACTTGTTATCTGGCATTTATATGCATTTATAAATGGAAAAAGTGGAGTTCTGCTTTCTGGTGAAGTCTGCTTTCCGGCAGTAGCCTGGAACCTAACCTGCCGAGTAAGTGGGGCCCTATTCTACAGAGAAAATTGAGAAACAGGTATGTATAGTGGCGGGAGTCAGGTGGCAGGCTGTGAGAGGGTAGTGGTGGTGGTAGTAGTAGTAGTACTAGTAGTAAGTAGTACAGCTGAGTTGTGATGGGTGGCAGTAGTAGTAGTAGTACAGCTGAACTGTAATTGGTGGGATTTAAGAGGGACCTGTCAACAGTGGAATAATATACAGTGGTCCCCCGCTTTTCGTAGTTCCCGGCAATCGTAAATTTCGCCAATTGTAGGGGTATTTTCATATAAACATGGACTCGCTTTTCATAGGTTGACTCGCGAGTCGTAGTTCGTCTGGGACGCGTACCCATGGCATGAGCCAGGGCGGCAGCCAGTCTGGCATTGTTTACCAGTGAGCGAAGGTCCCCTCACGTGCTCCAGCGAAATATTTCATAATATTCCATTTATTTTAGTGCTTGCAAGTACTAAATCATTTACCATGGCTCCAAAGAAAGCTCCTGTGCCAAGCCTGTGGTAAAGAAGGTGAGAAATATGATTGAATTTAAGAAAACCATCATTGAACAATATGAAAGTGGTACAAGTGTGGCCGAACTGTCCAGGATGTATAAGAAACCCTACACAACCTTATGTTCCATAGCGGCCAAGAAAAATGAAATAAAGGATGCTGTTGTTGCAAAGGGAGTAACTATGCTGACAAAAATGAGATCACCAGTACTGGAAGAGGTTGAGAAGTTATTATTGGTGTGGATAAATGAGAAACAATTAGCAGGAGATACTCTTATGACTTCGATTATTTGTGAAAAGGCTAGGCAGTTGCATAAAGATTTGGTAAAGAAATTGCCTGCAAATAGTGGTGATGTGAGTGAATTTAAGGCCAGCAAAGGCTGGTTTGAGAGATTTAAGAACCGTACTGGCATACACAGTGTGGTAAGGCATGGTGAGACTGCCAGTTCGGTCCACAAGGCGGCTGAAAAATATGTGCATGAATTCCTGGAGTACATAGAGGCTGAAGGACTGAAACCTGAACAAGTGTTCAATTGTGACGAAACAGGCCTCTTTTGGAAGAAAACGCCAAAGAGGACCTTCATTACACAAGAGGAAAAGGCAATGCCAGGACACAAGCCTATGAAAGACAGGCTGACGCTAATGTTCTGTGCTAATGCTAGTGGAGATTTCAAAGTGAAGCCAATTACTAGTGATACCATTCTGAAAATCCCAGAGTGTTCAGGAAAAACAATGTTATGAAGAGTAAATTGTGTGTGTTTTGGAAATCTAATAGTAAGGCATGGGTCACGAGGGAAATTTTCGTCGAGTGGTTCAGTGAAGTGTTTGGCCCTAGTGTGAAGGAGTATCTCCTGGAAAAGAAATTGGATCTCAAGTGCGTGCTAGTAATGGACAATGCACCTGCTCATCCTCCAAACTTGGATGACCTAACTTTCGAGGAGTTTGGGTTCATCACAGTAAGTTCTTGCCCCCGAATACCACATCCTCTCCTCCAACCCATGGACCAGCAGGTTATTGCAAACTTTAAAAAACTCTACACAAAAGCAATGTTTCACAGGTGCTTGACTGTGACCACAGACACTCACTTGACCCTAAGGGAATTTTGGAGAGAACACTTCAGCATCCTCCATTGCATAACCCTTATAGGTATGGCTTGGGAGGGAGTGACTACCAGGACTTTGAACTCTGCCTGGAGAAAATTGTGGCCAGATTGTGTCGACAAGAGGGATTTTGAAGGATTTGGGACTGAACCTAATGAGCCTATGTCTGTTGTAAAATCAATTGTGGCACTAGGGAGTTCCATAGGGTTGGATGTGAGTTTGGAGGATGTGGAAGAATTGGTGGAAGACCACAATGAAGAGCTCACCACTGAGGAGCTGCAAGAGCTTCAGTAGGAAGAGCAACACATTGCAGCTCAGAATCTTGCTGCAGAGAAGGAGGAAGAGAGATGGAAGAAGGTGCCTTCTTCAGAAATTAAAGAGATTTTTACTATGTGGGGTAAGACGGAAAGCTTTATGGAGAAACATCACCCTAACAAGGTTGTTGCAAGCCAGGTTGGCAACATGTACAGTGACAAAGTCTTGGGCCATTTTAGGGAAGTGTTAAAGAGACGCCAGAAACAGAGCTCTCTCCACAGTTATTTTGCGAGACAGGACTCCAGTGACTCTCAAGGTGGTCCTAGGGGCATTAAGAAACAGAGAAGAGAAGCAACTCAAGAAAAGCAAATGGTACCTGAGGTGTTGATGGAAGGGGATTCCCCTTCCAAACTATAAACAATCCACTCTCTCCTCCTCCTCCAGTCTCCCATACACTAAGAAGAATCTCCAATAAAGGTAAGTGTTATGCTGTTAATGTTTCATTCTTCATTTCCCAAAATATTGGTTATGTAATCCATGTATATTTCATGTAAAAATTTTTTTTGTTTTAATACTTCTGGGTGTCAGGAACAGATTAATTGTATTTACATTATATCTTATGGGGAAAATTGATTCGTAAATCGTAAATTTCGTTTATAGTAATGGCTCCAGGAACGGATTAATTACGAAAAACGAGGGACCACTGTATTAAGATTTTCCTTGGTGCAGATTTGATGTTAATGGCAGTGTTCTGGTTAGTAGGTGGTTTGCTAACACTTTGGAAGTACAGTGGACCCCCGGTATACGATATTAATCCGTTCTTAAGAGCTCATTGTATGCCAAAATTATCGGAAGGCGAATTAATTTTCCCCATAAGAAATAATGGAAATCAAATTAATCCGTGCAAGACACCCAAAAGTATGAAAAAAAAGTTTTACCACATGAAATATTAAGTTTAATGCACACAAACTGAAGAAGACATGCGCAGTTTGTGGTACTCTGCTAACAATAGAATACATGACACTTACCTTTAATTAATGAAGATCTAGTGATGATTGATGAGATGGGAGGAGGGGAGAGTGTTGAAGTTGCAGGCATTTTGTCAATTAAATCCTCAATTAGCCACCAGGCCCGGTGGCCTGGTGGCTAAAGCTCCCGCTTCACACACAGAGGGCCCGGGTTCAATTCCCGGCGGGTGGAAACATTCCGACACGTTTCCTTACACCTGTTGTCCTGTTCACCTAGCAGCAAATAGGTACCTGGGTGTTAGTCGACTGGTGTGGGTCGCATCCTGGGGGACAAGATTAAGGACCCCAATGGAAATAAGTTAGACAGTCCTCGATGACGCACTGAGTTTCTTGGGTTATCCTGGGTGGCTAACCCTCCGGGGTTAAAAATCCGAACAAAATCTTATCTTATCTTATCTTATGCAACTTCTTAGCCTTTTCACATATGATCGTTTGAGAGATGCTATCTCCTGCTATCTGTTTTTCATTTATCCACACCAATAACAGTCTCTCAACATCTTCTAACACTTGGGATCTCTGTTTCGAAAACCGACATGTACCTTTTGCAAGAACAGCTTCCTTGATTGCTGTTTTCCTGGCCACTATAGTAGCGATGGTTAATTGGGGTTTTGTATGCAACCTGGCCAGCTCCGACACACGCACTCCACTTTCATACTTTGCAATTATCTCTTTCTTCATTTCAATAGTCATTAGCACCCTTTTTCTCGAAGGGTTGGCACTAGAAGCTTTCTTGGGGCCCATGGTGACTTATTTTGCAGAAACAAGCACCAAAAACACTGATAATATGGAATGTACCGAATGTATGCTTAGATGCGAGCACACTGGCTGGCTTATAAACACTAGCACGCACGGGGCAGTTCAGGCCACATGTGGACGCATCCCGGACAAATCGCGTGTGGCAGGTTTTTTAACGAGTGGTGAGGCAAAAGTTTTGCATTAAAATGTATCGTTACCGGATTTAACGTATACCGATGCCATCGTATACCGGGGGTCCATTGTACTATAGAAAGCAGATTTTTTGTGGAATGGCGGTGGTTACTATTATCATGGCGGCCTGTGAACACCGTCAATGGCATACTTCATTTTCACATATAACTAGTTAAGCCTCTCAGAATTTTATGAAGTGGCCCTGCTTGTTCTGTGTTGCACAGAAGCATTTTTCTGGTCATCATGATTGCACACGTTATTTTGGTCCTGTAACACGGGTTCCCAATGTTTTCTATGCCCCTACTTCTAGGAAATGTTTAAGTAATGTTTCATCCCCTACAAAAGTAATTATCACATTTGAAGATGAAGTTAAGTTTCCAATTTTTGAATCACAAATTGAACCAAGTACAGCATTGCGGGTTAACATATTGAACTCAAAAATTCAGTGCATAAAATGCAAATGTAAATTGAGCAGTTAGAAAAGGTTTTGGTAAAATAAACAGAATTGTGCTTTTCATTATGACCCTTTGTTGCACCCCCTGAAATTTCATCTCGCATCCCTGGGGGTGCATGCACCCTATGTTAGGAAACCCTGCTGTAACAGCAAGATCCCTGGCAGTAAGAATACACAAACGTAAGACTGCATGACCAGAAAAATGCTTGTGTACAACA